GATTATTATGTTCTTTGAGTTTATACAATATGTTCTTTAATGTATGTACATTTAAGAAAAAAAAAATCAATCACCTGAGTAATTAGGAAAAAAAACATGTTGTTTAATGTATTATCATATTATTTTTGTAAAGACTTTATGTTCTTTGGCTAGAGGTGACCAAAGTTAGACCGACCTGACCCGATTTTTGACGGGTTTTGGGCAGAAATTTTTTTTCGCCCCCAAATCGGGTTGGACCTAGCCCGTAAATTTAATTTTTAGGGCGGGTTTGGGAATGCGTTTTTATGCATTTTAAATGATTTTTTTACTCGACCCGAAAAGCCCGCACGACCGGACCATTTTGGGCACAAAAACTTCGGCCCAAAACTTGGCTCGACCCGAGAAGTGAGCTGATTTTTTAACCTTGGCCCGGCCCGCCCAATGATCACCTCTATCTTTGTCAAACACAAATATATTTTTTTTTTGTCAAATATTATGTTCTTTTCAAGTACGTTCAACCACCCAATTAATCATAAAAATAACATGTTCTTTTTATAAAGACTTTACGTTCTTTATAATGTCATGTTCTTGTCAAACACAAACATATTCTTTTGTCAAACACAAGTATGTTCTTTTTCAAACACTAGCATGTTTTTTTTTTGCCATGTTTTTAAAAATATGTCTAATGTTCTTTCCGACATGGTGCACCCGGGTGCACTATACTATTTTCACAATTCTGTTAATGTAATGATGTAAGTCATGTTCTCTTCAGCTTAATTTATGTTTAGTTTAACTCCAATCAGTTCATTTCAGTTTAATTCCCTATTTCCTTCTCTCATAAAATATTCATTTCATCAGTTCAGTTTTCGATTTATTCAATTCTACTCCCTCCGTGATTTTTTAAGTGATACACTTTCCATTTCCGGCCGGGGTTTTTTTTTAAGTGATACACTTCCTTTTTTGGCAAAAAAATACATTAAAATATTATGGAAAATTTGTCAGAAAAAACCATTTATAACCACTTTTTTATTGGAAAAAACCTTATAAATTTTTTTTGGCAAATAGAAACCAAATTGTAATTTTTTTTTTTTTGTTGAAGACAACCTGAGGTCTCTAATCACACAATTAACATCTAATTTTCCATTAATCCTTCTAGTTACTAATAATTCTCACTTAAATATTTAATAATTATGTTAATTTATAAATAAAAAAAAAAAAAACAAAAACAAAAATCACCCCCATCACCACCAGCCAACCACCCTTTCCTTCTCCCCTTCCCGTGGTAGCAGCCCCTTCCCCATCCCCAGCCGCCACCTAGAACCCCCCAACCCCTGTCGACCCACCTCCTCCGCCGAATCGACCCCCTCCTTTCCCCTTTACCCTCGCCGCGCGCGACCATCCTCTAAACCTTAACTCGAAAATTCCAACCAATAGAGTGGTTCTAAGGCTGCGACTGCGGCCGAAGTTAGTGCGGTGAGACTTGGGCGGTGCCCAGTGCTGATTGGTGAGTCGGATTATTGACGGTTTGAAGCGTCTTATGATTAAATTGTGGTTGCTGGTATTTGGTGAAGGAAGCAGGTTGTGATGTGTTGTTGTGGAGGGCAGGTCGAAGCAGAGGAGCTTGGCGGGCAGCAGCCAAGGTCGCGAACATGGCAGACCAGCAATGGATTGGACGTTGGTCGCCGAGAGTGGGGGTTAAATGCGGTGGCTGGGATGGGGATGGGGAGGGGGATGGAGTGGCTGATTGGTGGTGGGATGGCGGTGCATTTTTTTTTGTTTTATTTTTTTAATTTATATATTAATTTAATAAGTAAATAGCTAAATGAGAGTAATTAGAATAAATAAGATAAATTAGTGGTTAATTAAGTGAATTAGTGTTCTTGGTTGTCTTCAACAAAAAAAATTTACAATCTGGTTTCTAGTTGCCAAAAAAATTTTATAAGGTTTTTTCCAACAAAAAAGTTATTATAAATGGTTTTTTCTGACAAAATTTCCAAATATTATATCTCTCTCCTCTCATGGTCCCCATCCAAACCCACTACTACTTTTTTTATTATATCTTTCCTCTCACATTTATTACTTTTCAATAAACTATAAACCCCACTATCTTTCTTTAACAATTTTTTAATACTCTACTACCCCACTTACCTCTTATTTTATTTAAATCAATTAAATTGCCTAAAATTATGTGGCGGTCAAAGTGTATCACTTAAAAAAACAAGAAGGGAGTATTCAACTTAGTTCATGACTTCATGTAGTATAGTTAGGGGTGGGACTTCGGTCTGTCAGTTCGGTTTGACCTCGGTTTGAGTCGGTTTCGGTTTGGAGCGGTTCGGATTGAAACGGTTTAGTTTAGCTGGCGGGTCGGTTTGGTTCGGTTTGGGTTAGTCACGGCTCGGTTTGGTTTCGGTTTATTTCTTTGCGGTTTAAATTCGGTTTGGGTCATAAGCGGGTCGGTTTATAAACGATTCGGATTATGTCGGTTCGGTTTGATACGGGTCGGTTTAAGGGGCGGGTTTACCCGGGTCAATGTCAGTTCGGTTTACAAACGGTTTGGATCAAGCCGGTTTGGTTTGAAATGGGTCGGTTTAGGGGCGGATTTACCCGGGTCAATATCGGTTCGGTTTATAAACGGTGCGAATCATGTCGGTTCAGTTTGAAATGGGCCGGTTTAGTAGAGGGTTTACACAGTTCAATTGGTTCGGTTTATGAACGGTTTGGATCATGTCGGTTCGGTTTATAAGCGGTTTGGGTCATGAATTGAATTCATGATTGTTTTAAAGATCGCGTCATGACCATGATTTAATGAGTTGATACTTATAATACGATAAATCGATAATTAAGAATGTACAAATATTCAATTAGATTGATCAACAAGTGTTTTAAACTTTTAAGTTTTAATAATCAGATATGTAAATATGTTTATCGATTGTAGATTTGTAGTACATACCAATAATTCAATGAGGCAATGATACTTATGATAGTATGATAATGATACCAACCATACATTCGTACGATATGATATACATAATAATTAATCTATGATTACATATACATTAATAATATCGTATTGAATCAATTTCCATTTCCAAACATTGCATTTCTTATAAATTATAACTTACACGAGATTAAATGGATTCGTTATTTAGTTTGTTACTTTATTTAGATTACTAACTCAAACAACTTAATAAGTTAAATGGACGAAATCACGAAATCATGACCATGATTTAATGAGTTGATACTTATAATACGATAAATCGATAATTAAGAATGTACAAGTATTCAATTAGATTGATCAACAAGTGTTTTAAACTTTTAAGTTTTAATGATCAGATATGTAAATAACTAAATATGTTTATCGATTATAGTACATACCAATAATTCAATGAGGCAATGATACTTATGATAGTATGATAATGATACCAACCGTACATTCGTACGATATAATATACATCATATACATAATAATATAATTACATATACATTAACAATATCGTATTGAATCAATTTCCATTTCCAAACATTGCATTTCTTATAAATTATAACTTACACGAGATTAAATGGATTCGTTATTTAGTTTGTTACTTTATTTAGATTACTAACTCAAACAACTTAATAAGTTAAATGGACGAAATCACGAAATCACTAATTAAAGTGGTGATGAAAGCATTATGCAATACTAATGTACGAATAGTCAAATATACAACGGTTAGATTGAATGCCCATGAAAAACAATGGTTAGATTTTCATTACTTTATTAGTTATTAGTATTATTACTTATTAAGTTATTATTAGTTTTATAGTTTATTATACATACTGATATACAATCACAGACTCACAGATGTCAGATATTGTCATATTGATGAGCATTAAGCCATTAACTCATTAAGTCATTAACTATGTCGTATTGAATCAATTTCAATTTTGAAACATTTGCGTTTCTTACAATTTATAACTTATAAGTAATAAACTAATAATAATAATAATAATAATAGTAATAATAATAATTATTATTATAATAATATTATAATAATAGTAGTAGTAAACTAGTAATAATAATAATATTAACAAATAATTATACTAACAATAATAATAATAAATAATTAAAAAAAACGGTCAAAAAGACCTAGAAAAGCACAAAGAAAATCTAGACCGTTAGATCTAGATGAATATTCTAGAATCTACAAAAAAAAAATGAACGGCTAGATCTAACTTAGATGTTGAGATTGAATATGGACGGTTAGATCAACTGAAGTAAAACCTAAACCTAGAAAAAAAACCCACTCTCACTCTCTCAGCCATTCTCATTCACTCATTCAGCCGTTTCTCTCTCAATCTCACAATCTGTCATAGTTTCTCTCTCTAACTTCTCAGTTTCTCACTCTTTCGTTCTGAAATTCTCAAGAATCTCAAGCTCAATTTCGTTTCATTTGTGTTTTGGATCTACATTTCTGATTTCTAGCTTTACATTCTCGTTTTTTTTGTTAATTTTTGTTGTTTTCGTTTTGATTTTTTTCGTTTTTGTTCCGGTTTGTTTATTTAGGGTTTTTGTTTTCGTTTCATTTGTGTTTTGGATCTACATTTCTGATTTCTCGCTTTACATTCTCGTTTTTTTTGTTAATTTTTGTTGTTTTCGTTTTGATTTTTTCGTTTTTGTTTCGGTTTGTTTATTTAGGGTTTTTGTTTTCGTTTCATTTGTGTTTTGGATCTACATTTCTGATTTCTCGCTTTACATTCTCGTTTTTTTTGTTAATTTTTGTTGTTTTCGTTTTGATTTTTTTCGTTTTTGTTTCGGTTTGTTTATTTAGGGTTTTTGTTTTCGTTTCATTTTTGTTTTGGATCTAAGTTCTGATTTCTGATTTCTGATTTCAAATCTTCCTCTACTTCAAGCCGTCAAACCCTAAGGTAATTTTTTTGTTAATTTATTCGATTTTTTTCGTTTTCGTTTCGGTTTTTTTTTTTTATTTCAAGTTCTGATAATCTACATTCTTGATTTTTTCTTTTGATCTCCAGTTCAGGTAGTTCTCCATCTTCAAATCTCCTTCAAGCCGTCAAAGGTAATTACTTTTTCCTTTTTGTTTTTTTTAATACAGGTTTTCTGTTTTTGTATTTGATTATTGTTGTTGTTCTTGCTTGAATATAGTCGAAATATGCCTAAAATGAGTAAAATCTGTTGTTGATTGTATTTTTGTTTTTTACGGGAAAATGGTAGATTTGTGCTGTTTTGTTGTTTATTATGCTCGATTTAAAAGTAATGATGATGGGTTGTTCAGATTATGTGATTATTATTGTTGGAATACATGCATTGTTTATTTATTGGGATTTTAGCTTTATATTTTTAACCCATATTGTTGGAATACAAGCATTGTATATGATTGACTTAAAGTTAGTACTTAAAATGTACACATATGTGACTGTATCGTATATAACTTTCTATATTCTGTTAGGATATATGTTGTAATCACGTTTGTTGTATAATTCTGAATTTTGAAACATTGACTAGTGCAAATAAAATTCTGAAATATGAGCTATCTATTTAGTTGAATTTTGGTATTGAGTGAATAGGATTCACTGTCGTGACTTCAGTGTCAGTCACATGAGACAATGCATGCTTAATTGCTCACTATTAGTAGAATCTGTCACTTAATTTTGGTACTTATAAGTTATAAATGCTGTTTTTTTTTTGTTTCAGTCATGTCTCGCGAGTATGATGAATTTGACTATGAGAGGCAATCAAATTTTGATACTGTTAGCTCTCAAGCTTCCTCTGTCTCGGTTGATGATGCTAGTAATACCGGCACTATCAATCCTTCTGTTAATAAACGTCAAAGAACCGCAGGTATATGGAAGCATTACACTTTTTTTGTAAAGACGATAGGTAATGAAAATGTAGATTATGCTCGTTGTAATTTGTGTGGTAAAGAATATAAAGCACCTGGTAAAGCGGGTACTTCAACTTGTAGAGCTCATATTAATGCATGTTTGGAAAAGCATGGTCTCCAGTCCGGTAACGAATCACAATTTGATCAAAAAAACTTATTTACAAAAGTTTGCTAAAGCTATAATCTGCCATGCATATCCTTTAAATATTGTAGAGCATGAATATCTTAGGGAACTTCATGCATATTTGAATCCTAAGGTGCAGCATTTCTTAAGTTTTTGTTAAAATAACCATTGCTCGGTGATGTAAATCTGAGAGCAATTTTAAAAAACAAAAGCTATAATTTTGAAGTTGCTTGAACTTGTTATGAGCTGCTGCCTGCTGGTAGTGCTTTTGCCTTTTGGTTGTTGTCTCTGCTGAGTTGTTATTGCCTATATTGTTGCCTGCATGAGCTGGTTCCTGCCTCCTGCCAGCTTGAGGTGCTGTGTTGCTGCCTTTTGTGTTATGAATTTATGATAAGTTTTGTTGCTGCTGTTTCTTATGCTTGCTGTTTTAATTTTTCTTGAATCATCGTTGCCCTTATCATTTATGTTGAGACTTCAATGTATATGTACTTGCTGGCAGCATTTTTCAAGTTTTAAGTTAAAACAACCATTGCTCAGTGATGATACGATAAACGTAAATCTGAGAGCAATTTTGAAAAACAAAAATAAGTTCCTGCTGAGTCCCTTCTGCTTATATTATTCCTTGCTTCGGATAAGTTGCTGATCTGTTATTGCGTGTGCTGGTTCCTGCTTGTTGCTGCTATTTCCTCTGCTCTTGGGTGCTGGGCTGCTGCTTCAAGATTCTGCTTCAAGATTCTGCTCCCAAATCACTCACATTCTCACTCCTCCCTTCATCTAATCATGTATCATTTTTTTGCAACCCTAAACTTGATGATGTTTCAGTTGATAAATCTGAAATCTAATCTGGGTAGTTTCATTATGTATTGGTATATGTATTGTGAATTTTAATCAATGAAAATGGTGACTTTTTTTAATTGCTTGTTGATATTACTCTAATTTTAATGTTATTTATCTCCAATCTTATGTTATCTTATTGGATGATCATGAATATCAAGGAACAATGAAGATAATTTGGGTGGACTTTATTACTGGAATGAAAAGATACAAATGATATATCTTGTAATTAAAATAAATAAGTAATCTAAAACGATATTAATAATGTCGTTGGCCTAGATCTAGGTGATATAAACCTTTGTATAAACCTAAGCCGTTTGATTAGATCTACATTTATTAACATTAATTATTTAATTGTATTTACTATTTAGCCATTTAGGTTGTAAATAATTCAATTTGAATTAAGCAGTTTGTAATTGTATAAGTTTAAACAGGTTGCGATTCGAAAACAGTTCGATTTTAACGGTTTAACGGGTTATGGCAGTTCTGTTTAGACAGTTAGCGGATTATAACGGTTCGGTTTATACGTGCGGTTTAAACGGTTTCGGTTCATAAATGGTTAGCGGGTTACAAATGGTTCGGTTTAAACGGTTTTTTTTTCGGTTTAAACGGTTTCGGTTTATAAACGGTTCGGGTCATTAACGGGTTTGTAAACCATTCGGTTCGGTTTCGTTTCGGTTCGGATTTGCGCAGTTTGGTTTGTTATCGGTTTACGGTCCGTAACGGGTTGACATTGAGCGGTTCAATTCGGTTTCGGTTTGATATTGAACGGTTCAGTTCGGTTTTCGGTTTACATTTATCGGTTTATAAACGGATCGGTCCGTGATGATTCGGTTCGGTAACGGGCGGTTTCACGGTTCGGTTTGAAAAGTCCCACCCCTAAATATAGTGTCTAATTCAAAGTCAAAGTCACAGTCAAACGGTAGAATGTAAAAAATGTTAATTCCATAGACCATAGCGTAGAATCTGAATTTCCACCGTCTCCACAAACAAATTACCCTCACATGGCGGTGAAAAAGACGATGATCAATCTGCAGCAACAACTCTACCAAAATTCCTGGACTATGCTCGAATTCGAACAAATTCTTGAACATCAACGTCTCAAATGGACCCCATTTCTTTTTAGCTACGCCTGTAAATTTGTCAATTTTTAGGTAAAATTGTAACCCTTTTCATTGTTCTTATTATTTTGTCTGCTTTTTATTGTTCTTTGTTCTTTCTTCTTTGTACTATTAATTGCGTGAGAATTTGTCTTGAAATTCGTATTATAGTTGATTAGATTGCTCTTTTAATTAGTGGGTATTAACTGGAACTCTGAATTATTGATTAATTAGTTTATAATTTGAGCAATTTAGTGGGCCATTAATGAATTGTTTATGCTCACTGACATTGCTTCTCGTTGGTTTTCTCCAAGTTCTTTATTGCTTTTTATTTACTGGCGTGGGTAGGAAGCCAATTTTTTAAACCCCCTTGTTATTTGATTAATGTAAGCAATCAACTATGAGGTGCATATGTAGTGTTACTTAATTTGATGGTACGCTTTGGTAACATGAAACCGATGTCGGCTGCGATTCGCTATCTAGTTTAGTTGAACTCATTCGAACGTGTAACATTGAACTATTATTTGTGGCCATGTGGGATGATTAGTGAACTAAGGGAATATTTGAATCTTAAAAATGGAGAATTGAGCTGTTCTTCTCATGCTAGAATTGGGTGTAGTAAATTTAGGCGTTGTTCTCCTCGCTTTATTTTCAATTACTTGAGCCTTATTGCCTTATTGGAGAGATTGTTATATACACCGGGTGTACCGTACACCCATGGGTAATTTATACCCATTTTGATAATTGTTTTTCATTTAATCATCAAATGATGAAGAAAAACTAACCTATGGTTAGTTAGGTGTACGGTACACCCTATTAGGAGTAAGTTTTGTTAAGAATTAATAAGTTTAGATAAGATAATGTAAGGGTTAGTAAGATCAAATAATAGAAGATAAATAAAGAATTGTTAAATGCAACACATTGCGAGGGCTAATAAGTTTTAGTAAGGTCTGATAAGATCTATAGGGCCCAATAGGATAATAATAAATATAAGGGCTAATAAGTTTATTTAAGATAAGATACTTTGGGCTACTAAGCCCGGATAGAATAATATAAGTGAAATTCAGGTAAACAACACAACTCCTCATGTCTTAGAATAATTGAAGATTTGATATATTTTTTTTTCACTATACTATATCAATTATTCTGTGATGGAGTATTTTAGTATAGCTTGAAAATGTTATGTTTGGATGCTATCTTACTTGGACTCGGATGAAGTGTTAAATTAGGCACGGGTGTCCAAGCATCGAACTCGCCCATTTTTTATAAAAAAGTTGTGCTTTTAGTTAAAAATGAAGTGTCCAAGTGTCAGTGTCCGACATGTGTCGTGTCGACACAGACACGTGAGGTAAATGAAAGAATCCGAGTAACATAGTTTGGATGTAAAAAGCCAATGATAGGTCTTTTATGGCATGGAAAAAGAGTTAGTCATACCAATTGCTTCTTTTTTCTCGAGCTAAATTTTGGGTGTTCTCTTCACTTGAATTCTACTTGTTCAAACTTATTAGACATAAACTTAAAGCATTTGAACTTATTGGCCTGTCTCCAAACTTGTTAGTTGACAATTGAAATAGATATCCCTTAATGATCCTGAACTTATTTGTATCAATTACAAACTTATTGCCTATGAACTTACCTTATATGAACTCATATTATTTTTGTTCGAACTCATTAGCCCAAAATTATCTGAATTGAACTTGATTTAGAATATTAAGTAGAGGATATGTTAGTCAGGCATATGGGTTTGTCCATTGTAGTCCTAACCTGCAATAAGTTACCATCAATTGTGCTGAATTTGGAAACACTACAGCCATTGAGAATTTCTTGGCTTAAACAAAAAACATTGGTGTGAGGAGAATATGTAACTAGATGTCTAGATGTGAGGTTTATAGTTTAGAGGCCTCCAACTTTTATTGAAATTTTTGTTTGAAATTATTTTGAATGCGGATAAGACTTTTTCATTTAGAAATTTTGTTTGTAAATATTTTGAAATGCAGATAAGACTTTTTCATATAACCTGCATTTTATGTTCTTTCGGGAGAATGATGCACGTCATCCTGCTGGATTTAGGATTCTCGGTGAAGTGAGGTGCTTATTCCTTTGAGGAATTTTGATTGTTATTGTAAATGCTATAACAATAAGACATGAAAAAATTATTTATTGTATGATTCGTCGTAGTAGCATATAAGTATTAACCACAATACTTATTATTACTTACCTCGTTGTTTTAGTTGACACGTATTTCTTTTTAAGAAGTTTATTTTTAGTTGGAAGGTTGTTTTTTATTTTTATTTTTTTTATTTTTTTTTTGTTGTGGGTAAGTTTATACCTTACATTTACTAATGTATCCCACTTGATTTATTATTCTCTCTCATTCTCTCTCCTCTCCTTAATTGAACGCGTCAACTAAATAGAAACGGAGGAAGTATTTTTTTTTTTTATCTTTTTTTAAGTAAAGCTTAAAAGGGTAGTCTGCTTCAAGGTTCTGTAGTGAAAATAATTGTTCTTGAGCTACTCAAGAGTGTCTTAGTTTTGCTATCTATCAAGTTCAGCAATCAGAACAACACCCTTTTTGTAAATATTTTTTTTACTATTATTATTTTTAATGTTCTTGAGGACTGATCATTCCTTGTGAGTTAATTGACTTTAAGTTTAAGGATAAAGAAATCCAGGGATATTTTTATATTAACAAGCCAAAGGAGCACCCTTTTTTTAATTTTTTTTAATTTTTTTTAAATTTTTTTAATTTTTTTTAAAAATTTTTTAAAATTTTTTTATTTTTAATGTTTATGTATAAGCTTAATGGTCTTGACTCTTGAGGTCTGATCATTCCTTGTGAATCAATTGACTTTAAGATAAGAAATCTTGGAATATTCTGAATAATTAAAAAGCCAAAGGCATACAGGATGTTAAGTATGAGCCTGAATTAGGTAAGAGGTGAAGAAGTTTATACAAAGTAAATAACATCTTATTTTAATTTGTTTGATATAATATTGTGCTACCTAAGATTGTGGTAATGAGAATTAAATTAATCTGTATAACAGTTAAATTGGTTGAATATGAAAGCTGTGCGTCACATGAGTGTCATTAGCTGCGCAAGGCATTTTATTAATTACTTTTTGGAATAGGAGGTAGTTAAAGTATCGCCTTTCCTGTAAAACTTGGGTTTCTGGTCTTTCTACGAGGCTTTTATACATTTATACTTGCTTGCAGCCTTGTAAACTTAATTTTATTACTATGTCTGGTGGGGAATGAATTCTCTTTCACTTACCGAGCTGCTAGTTTGAGGTGTTCTATCTGACTGTTTGTTATCCATGTACACTTTTTATCTTATCATGCAATTCACGTATGTTATTCCTACTCCCTGATATATAGAGCAATTTTATCATTTTCCCTACTCAACTTGGAATCTTGTTTCACCATAAAATATTATATTGAACTTTTGAAGAGTATATATGATTCCTACTCCCTGATATATGGAGTGTATGTGATTCCTTTTTACTGATATGTAGAGCAATTTAAAAGAATTTCCTTGTATTTTGGCGATTGGCACATGATATATAAAATGGTAGCTATTATGTGGAGAAATTACAGCTGGATACGTGACGAGGTAATTTTCTGTCCTGTGGTAGTTTACTAGCATAATTACGGAAATAGGCTGTGAGTATGTGAATCTGAGCTTCAGTTCTCTAACTGTCTACATTCTCTACAATAAGCGTATTCTATAAACTATCAGAGAATATCCTGTAACCTTCTGGGACAAAATAGGGGATGGTTTCCAAGTTTATTGCTAATTCAGATCGGTTCTTGTGCTCTGGGACATTGACAAAGCTTATGAATTTTTTATTATAGAAACAACTGCTTGCCATAGGCAGTGACTTGCAGGATTTAACATATTTTTTTTTATTTACATGCAGGATTTTATACATTTTGATATTTTATCCATTAACTTGCAGGATAGGGACTGTATTTTATAAGATCAGTGTCTAAAATTGGAGCTTCTTCAAATCGTCATGAAAGACACTTGTGAGGTATGAGCTATATATTAATTGAATATTTATATGTAACATTGTATCATTATAATAAAAGGAAATACTTAATGCATCTCTGTCCTATAAATCTATAATAATGAAAACTTGTAAACGCTCCACCAAAAAAATATGTCCAATGTATTTTTTCTGGATTCCTGGATATAAATTATGTATCAAAACCATCAATCCTCTTAGTGTGATGATGACAGTCATGAAAATTTGTAATGGGATCCCACTTGTGTAAATATATTTATTGGCAAATGATTTAGCTTGAAAATTTGTGGTTTATTGATTAAAAGTTTTCAGAATCAACTCTATCAAAGACCGTACAGCATCTATGCCTTAAGTCCCAATGTTTATAGTTGCCCAACGCACCAACCTACTACTATTTTGCTTTCTTGAGAGTGCATGCATCTCAGGATTCAGATCTGAATTAGAAAGCCTTCTTTCATTCTCTCTCACCCCTCCCCCCCCCCCCCCCCCCCCCCCCCCCCCCCCCCCCCTCTTTTTTTTTTTTTTAATAGACTTCTTATCTGCTATATATCATTAGTAATTAGGTGATACATGAGTTTATAGTTCGTGTATCTTTCATTTTTTTTATCCAGTGTTTCTTTGCAGTCATGTAATTCTTTTTTTCATGAAATGACTCCTAGCTAACGGCTCTGTTAAAACTTGATGTCATCTGTCAGCCAGGAGTTAATAGTTGAGTATAAAAAAGTTTGGACTACATTGACAGTTGAGAAACAATTAGTAATGTGATATTCTTAGTTCCAAAAATAATTTAGTTAACTTGTTGTAATTGCTTTGCTTGGACTGTTCTAAATACAATTTTCCTTGATCACTGAGATGAAAAAATTGATAATAGTTAGGCATATTCTATATTTATCATGTACAGGAATTTCTAAACGGTTCCTTGGTTGACAGTCTTGACATGCATATTTTTCTGCATTTCAATCGAGTTTTCTGGACTCTAGAAAAGCCTTCTTCTTTGGTTCACATGATGAAACATACTCAAGGAAAGTGGCAAAATCTGTGTCCTTGTAACGCCTTGGATTATTTTTGTTAATAAGTTTGGGTGAAGGTTGAATAACACGCTCGAAAGGAAGACTGTGAAGAGATGCTACAATTACACGTGTTTTCTCTTGATTCACTAGTACTCTGTGTAGCACACTCCTATACTTTCCATTGCTAAATATCTGTAGCAAAATAAAATCAAAATCTGCATTTAGTTTACTGTAACATAACTGTTCCAACTTCCAACAATGCAAGTAAACATATATTTGTTTGTTTTTATGGAATTGATGGAAGAATCTACCTCTAGATGATTACCAATATTTACAACAAAAGCATTTGGGATCGGATCAACTGTCAACCATTTTTCTTCAAACTGTATTTGTAAACCCTTGACTTCATCCTGGAGAAGAAGGGTTAGGAAGCCATAGTCTGAATGTGGTGGCATCCCCAGTGTGAGTTCAGGTTCTGGGCACGGTGGATAGCAATTTGCCACCATCATCTGGCTCCCCTCTTGAAATTCTTGCAAAACTTCATTTTGTTCTGCTATATTCATTTCTGCATTCCACAGTCCAAGGCTCTCTAGGATGGCCCTCATTAGCATCAAAAACAGGTTTCTAGTTTGCGTTGAGTAAGCAAGCTGCCTGATCCCTATAGAAGAATTTAAAAAAGTAATTAGGATTTTTATTTTTATTTTAAAATTCTTGGAGGGCAATTTAAGACCACTAATTCTACTTGTTTATTCTCAAAAAGGAAAGGCAGCCACAAAATCTATCCTCTGCTGGCTGTCCTACTGCTTAAACGAATCATTGCGTTGTAAAATAATCATCAAGTGGGTAGGGTTGCATAAAAATATTAATTGTATGTTATCTCTGTTACTACCTCAGGTCTTCTGGTGAAGAGGGCCAGAGTGAAAAGACATCTGGTACGGGGTGGCAAACAAGCTTCAGAAAGTCTCTCCAACAGTAGTTTCCGTCTTTGTTCTGATTAAAGCTTGTTCCATATCGGACTGGTGCTTTCATATCTGTGGACATGTACTTGTGTCGTTCCTCGAATGGGAGCTCAAAAAATCTTTTGCATACATCAGTCATACTGCTAATAGAATCTGTGGGAATGCCATGATTTACTACCTGCAGCAACATGTTAAATGGTAAGTTTTATGCTTAAATATTTATGATTAGCTTCAGATCTTAGCATGAAAGCAATTGTGGGAAATGGTGCATTGTGGTGCTTAAGGGTTGTAGCTGACCAACCTGAAAGAAACCATATCGTTCACAAGCATTAGTAAGGGATTTGAGCACTTGAGACCGGTTTAGGTCCTTGTAGTTCAGCAAAGTCTATGACTGGAAGTTTGATGTTTGTTTCCTGAATATGTGATTCTTTTCTCATGTTTGGACGGTCTGGGATGGGAAAGATGTACTTGTTTGGAACTTTCTTGATTCCATTCTCATGGAGATGCCTCACACCTTTCTGGTATTGGTTTTCTGATTGGCTGTCTCTCATCTTCTTTTCTGATTGTAGCGAGATTGCCGGAGACATTAGTTTGAACAGATTCCTGTGACATGCATAAATAAAAGGTCAATTATATAAACATGTACGGAATAGCAGATGAGAGAAGGGGAGGATAAAGTCAACGCTGTATTAAGTACTACCCGTACCTTTCTTTTATGGATGAATGAATACAATGAAGGAAAGTTCACAAGTAATTTGTTTGAGATTTATGATAATGCAGCACTCAATTTATAGAAGTGGCTTAGCAAGGCTACGTCAAAACAACAGTTGCAAGTTTTTGAAAACCAGCACTTTGGAAAAACCAGCTTTTGGTATATATTTTTATTAGCAAGGGGGTGGGGGCACCAAGTCCAGAAAAACCATCACCGGATTATTTAATTCAAGCAAAGCAATCTTTCCTATATAGTATGACCATTGACCAAAGTTTGGGTCAAAGAACGAGTTCGTGGGGTCCTAGGCTTTCTCCATCTTTGTACTACCAAATAATGTCAAGGCTTAATTTATTATTCCCCTTGATGTAGTTCTCACTTGAATATTTTATGAGTCATGCAACTGGCTGACTTTTGGCATAATGTTTTTTTAAAAAATATAAATTAAAATAGGGTCTATATCTTATGTAGGCTGTCTATTGTGTTGAAGTCCTAATCATGTCATCAAACTCTTTTAATTCAGTGTATCTTTTCGGATGCTCAAGCTAAAAAACTGATGCTTAATAATTGCTCAAGTTGTGATGTTTTATGCTGGACAGCAAAGTAAAGAACAGTAGTTATGGACAAATTACAACTTTCCCTGCATTTAAATTGGTATATCATTGTTGGTGTGTGGGTTTGGTGCTAATACTGCTAACACTAAGTCCAATGACCCGGGTAGGAGTTCTACTGCAGAAGTTTAGAGTAGTAAATTCTGAGAATATTGAAACCCATTCATTTGAACACCTATTTGTAATTTATTTACTTCTTGACATATCCTTTATGTCATAAGTTACCTAGTCGTACTTTAAAGCATGCTTGACATATGACTGGTTTTGTTTGGTAATAGTAAATTTTCCGCAGGCAATATTCATCAGAAATCGGCACTCAGCAACTGGGGTTTTCCGTCCCGCAGCGTGTATAGAGAAAGTATGTAATTAGTAGAATCTTCCCCCTAACCTGTATTCAATGACAACATATATGGCCATGCATCAATCAACTGAGTTTATTATGAATTTTGTTTGACAATGTCAGAATATTTGGGAATTTTTTGCAACTTGCACTTGTATTGACTTCTGCATATTAAATCAGTTGACTGGTATTGTTGGTGTTAAGTTTATAACATCCTGCATATTAAGTTTATGACCATATTGAGGAAACCAATTAACCAATACTCTTTTTACTAATTAAACTATATGTGGTGACTGGTGACCTCTAGAGAATTTAATTATCTTTTAGCTATTGCAAAAGGCATTTACAGATTTAGGTGACATTACATAGCTGATTGGCTAGGAAGAGATAAAACCAAAAAAAAAAAAAAAAAAGAAAAAAAAAGATAAATGTTGGGAAGATAAGGAGTGGCTCTAAAAAAGTGCAATAATGAGATTTGGCTAAGGTTGCAATGTGGCTCTAATATCATTATGTGGGACAAGAATTTGAAAGTACTATTCTTTGTCCTATGGCAGACACTGGTCCATTTTGCTTTCTAATTTTGGTGCACCTTTTTGTTTTTGTTTTTTATTTTTTATTTTTTATTTTTTTCCTGCTTGATTGATTTGTTCAATGTTTCTAGTATTTACTTTCTATATGATTGTGAAAATCTTGATATTGGGTGCTTCTGCCAGTTGCTGTATGCGAAAGGGGATATATAAAGTGCATTGTTGATAAAATAAGTGATTCCTTATTCTCTATTAGTTGGCTTGATCCGTTGTATATGCTGTGTAACTTACATAGGGTAATTTGAAGTTGGGAAAATAAATTAGTTGTTTATCTTTGCTATAATGAAAATTTTCAAATGCTATTATTGTTATTTTTCTAATTTTCACTCGCTTTTATTTTATCCCTTTTATAACAATCTTTTATTCTTTAAAATTTATCATCTCTTAACCCACCTTAAGAACTATTATTTTGAAGAATTTCTTACTCTCGTATCTCTCTCCTCCTAAAAGTGAAAGTAACCATAAGTTTCGTATTTTCTATCGGAGTTGAGAACTCAAGAAGATGGAGTAATTACTCTGTTTTTAAATTGTTCATATTATTATAAAAAAAACTAGGGCGCTTAACAACATCATGACCTTTATGATCATTAGTTGTTAATATCAATTTTATGTAATGGAGATTTACCTTTTATCTTTTTTGTTAGAGGTAAAGAGTGTGATTTCCTATGTGATTTTGCAAGAACATTCTTGGTCCAGTTTCCATGGTAATGCACTAATGCTTACTCGTTCTCAAGATCTCTCTCTCTTTCTAATAATTTATTAATAGAAAGGAATTAATCTTATTTCAAAATTAGATAGTATTTGTTTTTATATCACCTATTTTATGAGTCATTACAATAACTAACACACAATTAGCTTTAGATTTTAGAAGGCACTGATAATATAACCTTAAGGTATGGATATTCTTGTATGACCCTTGTATTTGGAAGTTTGGATGAATTATCATATTGGATCATAGAGGCATATGGCTGGAGTCTGACAGATTGCAAAAAAATTATATCTTGATCACCCACTCTCCCCCTCATCTCCTTTTCTTGTGGATACTCCATTCTTATTGTCATTTTCTATATATTAAGCCTCTTTTATTATCATTTTCTGATAAAGGAAAGAAAAATATCCCCTGTGCCCAACTACAATGTCAATAATTGCCATATAGGGATGTGCATAAGATGGAACATTAATTTTTGATGGTTATAAAAAAAGGCTTGGCATTGATATTTATCTTAATACTTTTCTTACCAAGCTAATATTAGTGATTATTGGAATTTGAAGATTGTTCAAAATAGTGTATTGACAGGCAAGTGCTTTGGTTTTGCCTTTGTGGAGATGATCTGTGAACTATCTTTTCATTTCATCTCAGAGTCTTAATTTCGACACAACATGGGTTGGACTCTTCAATACCTAATACCCCCTTCGTCCCATAACATAGTTCCGTTTTCCTATTTTGAAGAACCAAAATGTTGTTCCTATTTCTATTTTTGGATAGTATGTAAAGACCATTATACCCTCTTTTTATTCATTTCCTAATTTACCCTTGAATTTTGCACATGCCTTTGTATTTTTTTTCCACTTTCTCTCCCTAACTTTAGTCTATGATTGTACTTTTCACTTTTATTAATGTACTTTATCTACTCTCTCCTTCTATTTCTTAAATACCGTGAAAAAACACAAACATGAACTATATTATGGGACGGAGGGAGTAAAGAATTTTCTCAATTTTCACACAAATCTTTTTAAAAAAGATCAACTATTATTTCTCTTCTCTCTTTGAATATGAATAATACCAAACTGGCTGACTGCTACCATCTCCTACAGTGCTAACTCAATGCCTCTAAATAGGCTTCTGCCAATGGAAGCAACGTATACATGGAGCTTTGTGCGTACAATTGGACCACTAGGGACCTTTTTTCTAACAAGAGCCTGTGATTTGATTGATAGTTATGAAAATTTTAATCATCTTCATTGTCATTTTCGTTGTTGTGTTAAATGTTCATGTGTTGATTCCGCTCTTAGTATTATGCAAGTATGTGATTGCAAGTGGTAGGAAGTTTCTACAAAGTTAGTCTATCTATAGTGAGGAATCAACACTTCCTTTTAAAAGGTACTCTTGGCCTAGTATTAGCAATCTCATTGTCCCAACCCTTTATGATTTTAGAAACCACCATAATTTCCCCAAAACACCCTTTATAATAGTTTTCTTCTTTCTAAACTCTTTCATTGCATTTTAATTATGGCTATGTTTTCTTATAATCTGTTTTGTTTTAAGGGAATGTGACACCTTTTACTGACAATTTTACAGAGTAGAGGTGACATTATTTTCGGACGGAGGGAATAATAT